CACATTTGAAGATTTGTTGGTCGGTTTTTCGAGGCGCATGCAGAATATTTTTGCCAGTATTCCGAAGCAAATTTTTTTAATGATTACAGGCACCTCATGACCACGCGCTCCCTTGTGGTGGATATTCAAGGTAAACACCGTCATAGCTGTAGCGAAAGATACAATTGATATCGTAATACCATAGTAAATGCCTGCAAGAGAAACAAAAGAAAACAGTTATTTGAAAATGAAAATAGGAAAAAAAAAAAAAAAAAAAGGAGGTAGCAACATAATATTCAAAACCATTGTAAGCATTAATATTTCTTGAATTTAGCCAGTGTAGGAGGAAATCTTGAGAAGGTTGGCGGCTAGTGTAGAGGTTACCGGCTGCGAAACGCAAATCGCCGTGTCGGGTTCATTACGTTCATTTTCACACAAATACACTAGGTAAAGATTTTAATCCATCTCTTCCACACTTTCAGCTATGCGCTAAATATTAGGACAGACTGGATTCTCAACACTTGGTTACCAATCATTCTGGTAACACGATAAAAAAAAAAAAATTCTTCCCCCAGCAGCCTCGTGGGTATGGTCAACCTGTAAAAGCGTACAATGAGTGAAATTTTTAAGACAAGTTGCACAGTCTGCCGCAGGCGGAGATAACATCTACTTTTAGTAATGATCTTTACCGCTTAGATTCTCTTAATGGAACAGAAAAAAAAAAGATACTAATTCTAGTCTGTTGACATCGTTTACATTCGGACTAATATCCTAAACTTTATCGTTATTGTTGTAACCTAGGAAAGGTTACTGAATAGAATAATCACACAAAGGTTGGTAATGAACAATAATACTTAGGACAAGAACAACACATATAAGATTCGCCAGCAGCGCGTAGAAGTAGTAGTCAACTACTAGAACTGAGTCAAGTGAATTCCACAATGATTCACCAACAGCAGGATATCTACCAACCGCCCCACGCGGTCAGATATGGCACAAGGCTGAATTTAATATAGGGTATCCGAGTTCGTAGGCTCGACCAAAAATTCCCCATAGACCCCGTATAAAACAGGGTCGGGTAGCTGTTTTCCGAGACGAAACTCTGCCCTTCGATATAGCTTCGTCTGGGTATCCTCTCTTCCCGGAGGCAGTGAGTCTGACCAGCACAGCTGGAGACGAATCTCCAATTGGAGACCAACATACAGTATTTACTACTGTATTTATGTGAATAGGGACATACCCATTATCGTCCGATAATGGGTATGTCCCCATTCAATAATAACTGCTACAACAGTTATTATTAAAACGTCTCGGCTGTTGTGCTCTCCGATTTTCTTCAGTATTAGTCGATCCTTTTTATTTTTCATGGAATTTCGAACTGAATCCTTTATTTAATCTAAGGAGATGAATTGTTCTTGTTCTGATGTCCATGCTTCGCTCAGTTATTACTCAACCTGCTTCAACTATATCCGGTAGCAAGGACTCTGATCGGAAAATTGTGGTTTTTGAGAGTGTGGAGATACCTCTTAATTACTGTTGTTCCCAAGTACATTCTGACCCGGGGTGGTAACACCTGTTAGGATCCCAGCTAAGGGAAAATAGTGAACCCCCAAACAAGGACTAAGGAAAGTACAAAAATACATTTGTATAGTAAAAATGCCAGCAATGTATTTTAGTAATAATAAAAAAAATACCAACAATATATTTTTGCAGCGAAATTACCGGCAAAATATTATTATAGTAAAAATACGAACCATACATTTTTATAGTAAAATTACTAACAATACATTTTATAGAAAAATGATCAGCAATACATTTTATAACAAAATGACCAAAAATACTGTAATTTATAGTGTGGCACCATTTATCAAGGCAGAAAAAGAAAAGAAAGAAAAAAAGGAAAAAGAGAGCTAAGACCCAAAGCGTGGATGATAAGCAGAACACCACGGCTAAGAGACAATGGGAAAGGATATTTTGATAAGTAACAAATGGCGAAAGAGTGTCATTACAATGACAGGGAAATTCTGAGTGGATAAAGGAATCGGGTGTGTTTTGGCGACGGCTGTGTTATCTAGGGATACGTAAACAAACTGCTGGCCGACTGGCCAAAGAAAAATCCAAATGAAAATGTTATTTCGATAAGTGACGGAAAACAGGTGGACTAAAAGGGCTTTGGATAGATATGAAAAATTAAAAGCCGCACAAGACGTGTCCACTGACCGATTTCTTTCGACGGAACATCTTTAGCCTGCGATAATAAAATTATGCTATCAGAAATGTGTACCGAAAAGGAATGAATGGGAACTTAGAAATGTTCTTTTCGAGGCGACGTTTGGCCGTGTTAAAAAGACCACCCATTCGGATAATTAGCGATAAAATGACTGACGAAGTCCACGTGTAGAACAAGAGTTATGACCGCCATTGTTCATATTGTCCTGTTTGCGGCTAGAGAAAATGATAACTGCGATTAAGAGGAAGAAAAGGAAAAGAAAAGATAATTTTTTTTTAGTTAAGCAAGATATTTTTTTTCCTGAAACAAAGCTGCGGATTCGTCCACGCCCGACTAAGACATCATTGGTCGAGTGGTGATCACGTGACGCACGAAGGAGGCTGTCGCCGCCCATCCACAGTATAGGTATGAGAAGCTGCTACGAAGAAGTGGGGAGGGCAGTTCACGCCCCTCTGAAGTATGGTGAGAAGGTGGGAGTAAGGAAAGGCTCCCAAAAATGGAAAAAAGTGGAAAATCCCTAACCAGAAATAAAAGAGGTGGATATGTATTTAGAATTATCGAGGAACCCTCGACGCCGACAAACCCACCCCGGTTTTGGTCGGCGTCCATATAAGCGAAGCCACAGCGAGCAGAAATCTGTTAAGTTCGAGTTTGAGTTCAGCAGAGTTGAGTTCCAGTTCGGTTCGAGAGACTTCCGCCTCGCAGATAGCTAACCAAGATTCACGCAAATTCCGGACTCCTCTTCAACCCAAGAACAATTATTTTGAAGAGCGACTTAGATCCAGACCACCAAAATAAGTTTTTTTTCGACTTTCGTCCGAAGACACACCGAAAAACCAATTTCTTAAAGAGCAAACAACTTGAAGCGTTAAAACTCGCCTAACAGAAAACAACGTGTCACAATCCAGTGAACGGGTCGGGAAATAAACGCAGTCCTATTTATCGAACAACTAGACATAAAGTTTGTTATCTTTTTCTTTGATATCTTGAACTTTTGAGTTTTCATTTTATTTTCTTTTATGCATATTTGTGTGGTGTCACCCCCGTTGAACCCAATTTGCATTACGGCCCCAACTACTGATTGATCTCGTCTGCCTAAGATCAATTCACAACGTGGGTAGCCAGATTGGGGATCAATGCAGTTACCTTGGGAACCAGGCGTTGGAAGCGAGTTGGGAACGACGAGGCTGAAATCAAATCTAACCAGATTCCCACCCGAATCACCAAAAGGTTAGAACGTCACATTTGGGTGCCGCGACCGATACCAAGCCAGTTGGTCGTCACAGGACGAGACAACACGACTGACGCGACAAGCGGACGTCACGTTTGGAGCGGCGACACCCGAACGGAGCAGCGAGGAGCGAACAGCTGGCGCCGCGGCGAGGACGTCACAGTTGGTGCCGTGGTAGACCAGGATAGGACGTCACAGTTGGCGCTGCGACCAAGGGACGACGTCACAATAGTAAATTTGAAGACATGACATGCATTGTCAAAAAATTAAAACAAACAAATAATTTGGCCATGATTAATCTCATTTGTCGTAAGGAGAAAGAAGTTTTCACCTTTCGTTTGATTTTGTAGAAAGCAGTTAAGTAATTTAATCATGAAATAATGTCATAAGAATTTTGTAGCGTCGGAAGGAAACATTAGTTTAATCTAACACAAGTTTACAAGTTTAGAGTACCTGTTTAGAATCGAAATTACTATGTTGGTGTGGTAAGGCAACCGGATTACCTCCCCTGTCTTAAGATTTGTATAAATAAGTCACGCCGTCCTAGCCCAAACGGCAAGACTTCAGTTTCGTTTAATAAATGCATATTAAGCCGAAATAGATTTAGAATTTTCATTACCATTGATAAGTTGGTCTGCAAGATGAGCTTATTAAAATTAAGGTTAAAAGGACAGATTTGTAAATGGTCATTATCCAAGCAAGTGGTCTTTGATTGTCTTTGATTGTCTTTGATTGTAGCTGTTTCCAAGTATCTAGATGTAACTTCCTAAGTTAAACATCTTAATTGTATCATAATATACTCTTCTAGTTACATGTGCTGTTTTTGTTGTCGTTGCTGCTGCAATTGTTCAAGTGATGCATTTTTCTTTTTATTATTTTGAAAAGATCTTTGGTTATAATAATGTAAGGCCAATCGGTTTGGTGAATGATCGCCTTCTTTAAGATTTACCGGATTAATTCATTTGAAGACATTTTTAAACATTGAACTGAATTCAATTTCGATAATATTTTAAACATCTTTGAATGAATTGAATGCCGTACATGACATCCATATGAAAATTGAGATCTGATGAGGTTATTTAAATGACTGACGTTTTTTTATTCAGCACAATATTTTGCTTTTGTAACATCTATCTTGAAATACTTGTGGAGTAATGGATTGTGGTTCGGATTAAGGAATCAGAGAGCCGAGTTCGAATTCTAGTCAAATCCATTACAGCCACTTACGTGCTAATACCCTTTATTATACCATGTATCACGCATGGTACATAACTGACTGAACATCTTATGGCTTTGGACAAAAAGTTCCCTTAGCGCACTCCTGAGTTCAATTTCCTTTTCTCCTATGATAAATTTGTTATAACTGATCCATAGACCAAGGTATTTGGAGTGTTTAGAATATAAAACTTCTCAAGTCCACTGACTGTTATCACTCTTCCTGGTATTGATGGGAGTTTCCTTCCAAACATTTTATTTATGATCGTGTAGAAAGTGAACATCTTGATTATAGAATTATTTTCCTTTCTAGTTAGATGTGCTACCCATTTTTGTTGTTGTTGCTGTTGGAAGTCTTTAAGTGAATTGGTTTTTATATTTGGTAAATCTCTTTGCTTGTGATTGTGTGCTACCAGTCTATAGGATCTGGTGAAGACCTAAAGAATTCATTTGCTTGAAACCATTTTTAATAATTGATCAAAGAAAATGATTGTATATAGATGATAGTTTAGAGATTTCTGAAATAGCTGAATGCCGTGCATGACCTCTTAAGAATCTGGATTTGACGAGGCAATATAGGAAAATGACTCAAGTTCTCAGACTAATATTTTGGCTTTGTAACATCTTAAATTTTGGACAAAAGTACCCCACCCGAGAGAATGGGCACGTGACCGAGTGGTTCGCATTCTGACCATGAGACCCGGGTTCGAATCTCACCATGAGACTGGAGGGGTTGGTCCCAGCGCGCGGCACCTTTGGAAAGTGTCTGACCCAAGCCTTGTGAGTGAAAGTGGGTAGACAGAACCCTTGGGACCGTCGATAGCTGTGCTAGCACGAAGTCACATGTCATCGTGGCCGAGGGCTTGAGCGTGCTGGTTTTGTTCGAATTGTTGATCACGCTAGATAACACGCTCTTTCCCAGAAAATGTAACTAAGGTATGTTGAACATATCAGAAAGAGAGTTCATCAACTCAAAGGGCGCTTTATAGTAGGAATCCCCAAAGAGTAAAATATACTATTTTGTATTGTATTTAACTGCTGTAACCTTGGAAATATTGTACATCAAAGAAAGAAAGAAAGACTTACTTTTTTCATACTCTTGAAGAAGGCCGGAGAGTAAATCAGCACAAAGAGCGCTTTATGGCAGAAGTTCCCAAAGAGTAAAATATACTATTTTGTATTGTATTTAACTGCCGTAAGTTTGGGGATATTATACATTCACGAAAAAGAAAGAAAGAAAGAAAGAAAGAAAGAAAGAAAGAAGAGAAAAACTTACCTTTTTCATAATCTTGAAGAAGGCCGGAGAGTTCATCAGCACAAAGAAATCTTTATGGTAGGAGTCTCCAAAGAGTAAAATATACTATTTTGTATTGTATTTAATTGCTGTAAGTTTGGGGATATTGTACATCCAAGAGAAAGAAAAGAAGAAAAAGACTTACTTTTTTTCATACACTTGTAGAAGGCGGAAAAGTTCATCAGCCCAAAGTGCACTTTACGGCAGGTGTCCCCAAAGAGTAAAATATAACTGCCGGAAATTTGAGGATATTGTACAGTCAAGAAAAAAAAAAAAAAAAAAAAAAAAGAAAGAAAGAAAGAAAAAGAAAGAAAGAAAGAAAGTCTTACCTATAAGAGGAAGTACGTCCGAGGTGGGAGGCATATTTTCAGCTACAAGCATCATAAACACTGTCATAGATAGCAACGTGGTTATTCCCATAGTCACTTTTTCGCCCGAATCTGATGGGATATAAAAGCCCAAAAGCGCCACAAGTGTAATAAGAATGCAGGGTAGAATCATGTTGAATACGTAGAAAAGCGGGCGTCGGCGAATTTGTATGTAATAGGTGATATCCGGATAGGGCTCAATACAACAGGAGTAGTACACAAGGTTCCACTCGACGTGAAGCTTGATGAGAATCCACTCACTGTTACGAATGTAGTTGGAGATGTCCCCTTCTTCTGAGTTCATGCGCAGCTGCAATTGGAAACCATCGTATGTCCAGGATGCGAACTGCATAGAACAGTTCTGTTCGTCAAACGGAAAATATCGCACGTCGATTCTGCACGAACTCTTGAAAATCACCATCGACAGCCACGTGACATTCCCTTCGCTGGTGACGATCACATTTGAACTCAACGATGAGAAGTACGACGTAACATCAGCACTGCGGAATGGAAGCGACACGAATAAATGAATGCAGACAAGCTGAAGGCAATTTGAAAAAGAGAAGAAAATTCAAGCAGAGAAAATGAGGAGGACAAGAAAAAAAAAAAAAAAAAAAAAAAAAAGAAAAAAAGAAAAGAAAACGAAGGTAGAGAAAAGAGCAAAAATCCGAATAAAGGAAGACGCATAATAGGAGGGGCGGTTTGATGAAAAATCCCGGTTGGTTGGTGAAGGCAACCAGAGTTATCTCCCCTTCGAACTACTTTATTACAGGATGCCCCCCCTCAAAAAAAAAACAGGATATTTTACATTTACTTTATGATGAAAAAAAAAAAAAAAATTAACTAACATATAAAAAAATTACCTTTTTAAATGTTTAAATATTTGAATTCCTTGACAAAGATTTTTTTAATAGAAGTATTAACTTGGGTGGAAAATCTCTTTTTGAAGACTGATGACCTGAAGGCAAAATTTCTGTGTGAGATACTGATGTAAGGCAAAGATTTTATGAGGTAAAACTTTTATTGACCGGTGTTCACTATAACATCTCTCCATTATAAATACTTACTTATTATATAAAAGGATGTCTGGTTTCCAAACGTCCGTGAACGGAATACGAATAACTTTGATTCCATTGTATTTGTCTGGATCCCATCGTAAGTTTACATCCAGCCACACCTAGGAAGAGAAAAAAAAACATATTAGATAAATATTTATTCTTCAATGGGAATCCGGGTTTGAATCCCATCATGGTCGATTTTTCAGGAAGGTAATCCCAGCGTGCGTAACCTTTGGAAAGGTGGCTGAAAATCATAGCACGCATTGACCCTTAGCCTTGTGAGTCAAACTGGAAAGACTGAATTATTTGGGAGCCATCGAGGTTTGTGCTAGCACGAAATCGCAAGTCATTGTGACCGAGGGCTTTGCTTAGACTGTTTTACCGTGTAAATCAACTTCCCGATTCTGGCTAATATTATGCCGTCTTCCCACGTCTCTTTGCCATATATATGCTCTAAATAACATTTTGTCGCTGATCTTGAAATTTTTGGTGTCACTTTTGTTAACCATTTGTGCTTTTTGACTTGATAACAACTTCTTGAACACTGATTTTACTCTTCTGGCAAACATTAATTCCCCCGGCAATATACCTGATGGTGTATTGGGGTCAGGTGTTACCTGGTAAATTCTCAGAACATTTTGAAATGCTTCCTCATTTACTTTCTCAACACTTGCTTTCTTCAACGCTCTTTGGAACATTCACACAAATCGTTCCGCATTTCCATTCGACCTTGGGCCATAATATGTTCAACAGAAAACATCTTACAAAAATCTTCGAATTATTTACCTGTGAATTGCGTTCCATTATCATAGAGTATGGCATCTATTATGCCATATCTCGCAAACAGTTCATGCAAGAAATTCACTGTCACTGAAGATGTTGGATTTTTGCGCTTATAAATTTCAGGCCATTCATACGACCTATAAAATCTATATGCATTCATGACCACGGCGTGTCTGTCGTTGGCCAAGGTTCTATCTTTGTGATAGGTAGTTTTGCTGCCAGAGCACGACCTCTGAAAACTTTCACTATTTTGTCAATATCTTGATTCATTCTGGTCCAATATACGAAACTTCCCATCCAAGATTCTTGAAATGCCAGGATGTCCGCTATGAGAATCCTTTAATATTCCCTTCTGTAACACACTAGGTATTAAAATCCTTTGCCCGAACATTATGACACTGTCGCAAATCGAATAAACGTTTAAGTCTGGATTTTGTTCTTTGTTGCTTTCTTTTTCATTTTCGCAATAAAGACGTCATTTTCCGATTTTTATTTTATTTCTTCTAGAGTAGCTGGTGCCTCTCGTAATACGTTGCACAATTTTTTTTTATTTCCATTTCGTTCTTTAGTGATACAATGACCGTGTCCTTAAATGGTTCCGTATTGGTAGGTATTAATCTCGATAATCCATTTTTTAGAAGGTACGTATTTTTTGATTTTTTTGTTGCTGTTTCTGTTGTTGTTGTTGTTGAATTTCAACTATCGAAGTCAGAATTTGCTCTATATTCGCAAGAATGTTTTTTCCTACACCCAAAAGTAAAAGATTTTTTCAACACAACAAGAAAAAAATATTTTAAACCAACATTGTTAAAATTCTTGTCATCACCCGTATCCTTGTTCCCTAAGCAAAAAGTATATATTTTTTCCGTACTTCTTCACTCAGTATGTATTTTCAAAATACTTGCAATTCCTGTTACAGCTCATATGAGTTCCTGAATCTTCGTTACTGTTATAAGTCGTAAAAGTTTTGAATCCTTGTCACAACGATTATAAATTAGTAACCACTGATATAACGCATTTCGTAGCGCATATAAGTAATACTTCGGCAACTTGCCGTGACGCCTGTATTACTTAGTCTGAAGATTGACCCAAATGGTTTCTGTTCTTCTCTCACCTCTGAGCTGGAGATTTTTATAGTTATGGACAAGTTCCTTTAGTCACTAGTGTGTACTATTTATTCCACAACAGTGCCTTACAAATTTCAACTATATCTATCTAGCTTTTTTTTTTTTTTTTTTAATGCTATTTCATTTTAAGATGTTGGTAATAATGACTCTCCACAGATTGCGAAAGGTCGTTATGGAGTGGTTTCCAATTGCCTTTTCTGCAGTTTTGAATTCAGAGTTGTACTTTTACTAGACTGGCTGTTAATCAAGACTAGAGAGCTTAGTCTACCCTGCTATTTGACCCATACTTCCGGAGAGAAGAAATGAGAGATTCATCGATTGGTATTAGTGCCAAGTGTTAAGCTAAATAAAATTAAATAGTTGGGGTCAATTACGAACAGGTGACTTGATTTTCTTCTTTGTCTCACATGAGTTTGCTGTCAAAAGTTACATTACATTTTCTAGCAGCAAGAGATATTTAAGTATGTAAATTTCTGGCACTAGAATGTCTAACACCTAAGAAGCTGGTGCCAAAATGTCTGGCACCTAAAAAAGATTGGAGCCAAGCGTATAGAGAATAATATGACCATGAAACAATTTCACTCGAAGGAAGACTCATCTCAGAATGTTACAAAAATGCTATCCAAGTACAAGAACCTGTAGATCGTTTCAGCAGGAGGTTCTATGAAGACCGAAATAAAACCAGTAGTTATTGCTGCACCCGGAATCATGAGGATTAGAATGGAAACGTTTCTCAACCATATTCAGTCCTAACAGAACCTGTAGATCGAGATCAGCAGGAGGTTGGGTATGAAGACCGAAATAAAACCAGTAGTTATAGGAGCACCCGGAATCATGAGGATTAGAATGGAAACGTTTTCTCAACCATATTCAGTCCAAGTAAAAACCTTTAGATCGAGATCAACAGGAAAAAATATGAAAACCAAAATAAAACCAGTAGTTATCAGCACCCGGAATCATGAGGATTAGAATGGAAACAAAAACCATATTCAGTTTTAACAGAACTTCTTCGAGATCAGCAGGAGGTTGGGTATGAAGACCGAAATAAAACCAGTAATTCCTAGGAGCACCCGGAATCATGAGGATTAGAATGGAAACGTTTCTCAACCATATTCAGTCCAAGTAACAGAACCTGTAGATCGAGATCAGCAGGAGGTTTATGAAACCGAAATAAAACCAGTAGTTATAGGAGCACCCGGAATCATGAGGATTAGAATGGAAACGTTTCTCAACCATATTCAGTCCAAGTAACAGAACCTGTAGATCGAGATCAGCAGGAGGTTTAGTATGAAGACCGAAATAAAACCAGTAGTTATAGGAGCACCCGGAATCATGAGGATTAGAATGGAAACGTTTTCAACCATATTCAGTCCAAGTAACAGAACCTGTAGATCGAGATCAGCAGGAGGTTGGGTATGAAGACCGAAACAAAACCAGTAGTTATAGGAGCACCCGGAATCATGAGGATTAGAATTTTTTTTTTTTAAACCATATTCAGTTAAGATGTAACAGAACCTGTAATGAGATCAGCAGGAGGTTGGGTATGAAGACCGAAATAAAACCAGTAGTTATAGGAGCACCCGGAATCATGAGGATTAGAATGGAAACGTTTCTCAACCATATTCAGTCCTAGTAACAGAACCTGTGTTAGATCAAGGAGGTTGGGTATGAAGACCGAAATAAAACCAGTAGTTATAGGAGCACCCGGAATCATGAGGATTAGAATGGAAACGTTTCTCAACCATATTCAGTTAAGTAAAGAAACCTGTAGAAATAGCAGGAGGTTTCAATGAAGACCGAAATAAAACCAGATTTTATAGGAGCACCCGGAATCATGAGTTTTAGAATGGAAACGTTTCTCAACCATATTCAGCAGTAAAGAATATTTAGATCGAGATCAGCAGGAGGTTTTATGAAGACCGAAATAAAACCAGTGTTATAACACCCGGAATCATGAGGATTAGAATGGAAACGTTTCTCAACCATAAAAGTAACAGAACCTGTAGATCGAGATCAGCAGGAGGTTAATGAAGACCGAAATAAAACCAAGTTTCACCCGGAATCATGAGGATTAGAATGGAAATGTTTCTCAAATATTCAGTCCAAGTAACAGAACCTGTAGATCGAGATCAGCAGGAGGTTGGGTATGAAGACCGAAATAAAACCAGTAGTTATAGGAGCACCCGGAATCATGAGGATTAGAATGGAAACGTTTCTCAACCATATTCAGTCCAAGTAACAGAACCTGTAGATCGAGATCAGCAGGAGGTTGGGTATGAAGACCGAAATAAAACCAGTAGTTATAGGAGCACCCGGAATCATGAGGATTAGAATGGAAACGTTTCTCAACCATATTCAGTCCAAGTAACAGAACCTGTAGATCGAGATCAGCAGGAGGTTGGGTATGAAGACCGAAATAAAACCAGTAGTTATAGGAGCACCCGGAATCATGAGGATTAGAATGGAAACGTTTCTCAACCATATTCAGTCCAAGTAACAGAACCTGTAGATCGAGATCAGCAGGAGGTTTGGTATGAAGACCGAAATAAAACCAGTAGTTATAGGAGCACCCGGAATCATGAGGATTAGAATGGAAACGTTTCTCAACCATATTCAGTCAAGTAACAGAACCTGTAGATCGAGATCAGCAGGAGGTTGGGTATGAAGACCGAAATAAAACCAGTAGTTATAGGAGCACCCGGAATCATGAGGATTAGAATGGAAACGTTTCTCAACCATATTCAGTCCAAGTAACAGAACCTGTAGATCGAGATCAGCAGGAGGTTGGGTATGAAGACCGAAATAAAACCAGTAGTTATAGGAGCACCCGGAATCATGAGGATTAGAATGGAAACGTTTCTCAACCATATTCAGTCCAAGTAACAGAACCTGTAGATCGAGATCAGCAGGAGGTTTGGTATGAAGACCGAAATAAAACCAGTAGTTATAGGAGCACCCGGAATCATGAGGATTAGAATGGAAACGTTTCTCAACCATATTCAGTCAAGTAACAGAACCTGTAGATCGAGATCAGCAGGAGGTTGGGTATGAAGACCGAAATAAAACCAGTAGTTATAGGAGCACCCGGAATCATGAGGATTAGAATGGAAACGTTTCTCAACCATATTCAGTCCAAGTAACAGAACCTGTAGATCGAGATCAGCAGGAGGTTGGGTATGAAGACCGAAATAAAACCAGTAGTTATAGGAGCACCCGGAATCATGAGGATTAGAATGGAAACGTTTCTCAACCATATTCAGTCCAAGTAACAGAACCTGTAGATCGAGATCAGCAGGAGGTTTGGTATGAAGACCGAAATAAAACCAGTAGTTATAGGAGCACCCGGAATCATGAGGATTAGAATGGAAACGTTTCTCAACCATATTCAGTCCAAGTAACAGAACCTGTAGATCGAGATCAGCAGGAGGTTGGGTATGAAGACCGAAATAAAACCAGTAGTTATAGGAGCACCCGGAATCATGAGGATTAGAATGGAAACGTTTCTCAACCATATTCAGTCCAAGTAACAGAACCTGTAGATCGAGATCAGCAGGAGGTTGGGTATGAAGACCGAAATAAAACCAGTAGTTATAGGAGCACCCGGAATCATGAGGATTAGAATGGAAACGTTTCTCAACCATATTCAGTCAAGTAACAGAACCTGTAGATCGAGATCAGCAGGAGGTTGGGTATGAAGACCGAAATAAAACCAGTAGTTATAGGAGCACCCGGAATCATGAGGATTAGAATGGAAACGTTTCTCAACCATATTCAGTCCAAGTAACAGAACCTGTAGATCGAGATCAGCAGGAGGTTTGGTATGAAGACCGAAATAAAACCAGTAGTTATAGGAGCACCGGAATCATGAGGATTAGAATGGAAACGTTTCTCAACCATATTCAGTCCAAGTAACAGAACCTGTAGATCGAGATCAGCAGGAGGTTGGGTATGAAGACCGAAATAAAACCAGTAGTTATAGGAGCACCCGGAATCATGAGGATTAGAATGGAAACGTTTCTCAACCATATTCAGTCAAGTAACAGAACCTGTAGATCGAGATCAGCAGGAGGTTGGGTATGAAGACCGAAATAAAAACCAGTAGTTATAGGAGCACCCGGAATCATGAGGATTAGAATGGAAACGTTTCTCAACCATATTCAGTCCAAGTAACAGAACCTGTAGATCGAGATCAGCAGGAGGTTTGGTATGAAGACCGAAATAAAACCAGTAGTTATAGGAGCACCCGGAATCATGAGGATTAGAATGGAAACGTTTCTCAACCATATTCAGTCCAAGTAACAGATTCTGTAGATCGAGATCAGCAGGAGGTTTGGTATGAAGACCGAAATAAAACCAGTAGTTATAGGAGCACCCGGAATCATGAGGATTAGAATGGAAACGTTTCTCAACCATATTCAGTCCAAGTAACAGAACCTGTAGATCGAGATCAGCAGGAGGTTGGGTATGAAGACCGAAATAAAACCAGTAGTTATAGGAGCACCCGGAATCATGAGGATTAGAATGGAAACGTTTCTCAACCATATTTAGTCCAAGTAACAAATGAAGCACTGCAATCGACCGCATTACTAAATTCAATCGGAACTGATGCAAAAACACATTGAGTACAAATAATAATAGAATTATAATTGCATTTGTTCTATGTAAAAATTCTAAGCATGCAAAAACCATATTTGTGGCAATCAGTTATCTTTCCGGATAACACTAAACCGGTTTCATCAAAGTCAATACAACATTTATTTCGAAAGAAAACAACGCCGACTGAGATAAAGAATAACATTTTAATAAATTTTACAAATGCATATGGAATATATAAACGAAATTATACGAGTGAAAAGTAATTCACTCGAAAATAATTCAATTCCCAGCGATAACCAACAGATTGTGCAAACAGGCAGATATAATAATAGTAGCAGTAGTAGTAGTAGTAGTAGTAGTAGGAGGAGGAGGAGTGGTAGTAGAAGTAGAACAATGGTTTATGTACGAACCAGAATCTGTTTTAGAAGATGAAAGCAGAAAATACTCCGGGCTGTGGAAATACAAACGGAGAGTCCAGTACAGGACACGAGACCAGATCTAATTAACGTGCACAAATCTTTCAGGTCATCGATTTCGTTCTCATAGCAGATCACAGAGCAAAATTAACAGAAAGTGAAAAGCCCGAGAACAAAAGAAATTCTGAAACGTGAAAGTGACAATTGTACCAGTCGTAGTTGGAACACTGGGAAGAATTCTGAAAAGCCTGACGAAACAGCTTAAAATTGGAGAGAAAAAAAATACAGACTATAGCGAGAATACTGAGGAGGGTGCTGGAGTGTTGAGAAGACCTGCTGTCCCATTATATCGTTTTAACAAATTAAAAAAATACTTATGAAACATATTGGTGTATTAGGATAAATTTCCTATACAACCATTGACAAAATACTGCTGATTTCATTAAAACAGACATAAAGTGTGATTGTGTTTTGGAGCCAAACAATCAACTTGTTTTACGTGCCTTATTCCTTCAGGTCATGAGTATCAAATTCACCAAGACTTCTTTCCTCATTATTTGCTCTAGAAATTTCAACCGTCGCTTTTCTAAGAAATTATCTTTCGTTCGTGATATTCTCAGTATCCTTCTGTAGGACCACGTTTTTATTGTCTCAAGCCTCATCTTTCAGCGTTCGATCGCAGCCATATAGGAGGACTGATGTTACGTAGCAGTTCAGGACTCTTTTCTTTGTTTCTAACAATTTGCTTTGTTTCTTAATACTTTGTTTATATTTTGGTAGGCATCTTTCACTATTTCAAAACGCCTTCAAATTTATGCGGCAGATTTTCCGTTGTTTGTCAAAACACTTCCCGGATAGTTAAATTTCGGTGCTTGCTTGAGTTCAAAGTCCTCGATTCGCGACTCGCATCGTGGGCTGTTTCTTTTGCTAGTGACTAACATTCTGCCTTCTACACAAGCATAAATAAGTCAATCGTAAAAATAGAAAAAAAAAGAAGAAAAAGAAAAAAAAGATTAGTGTATTAAAACGATAACAAACACAAGTAGTTTCTTTATTTGTTTTTAAGACGAAATTATGAGGAAGAAATCTATAAAAAGTGGTAGACTGACCTGATTTAACCAGCAATTCGTTGTAAGAATTTGATTCCTCTCGTCCTGTGAAGAAAGAAAGAAAGAAAGAAAGAAAGGATGAGTATTGATCATTCTACGAATTATCTGTGTTGAGTGATCACCCTTGAAACTTCGATGATTCACAAAGAGAAAATCATTTTATTTTTATTTTTTAAATTACAGAACACAGTAATAGGCAAACGATTAAGCACATAAACAGATAAAGGATTCAAAATTTTATGGATTAATATTTTCATCCTTGTTGCTTTACAACGTTTTGGCCGATAAGTTCTTTGACATTCCTCAGGTTTTATGGGATTGCTTTCTTTTTGCTATCGTACAGATGAATATCGGAGAGCCGTGTTCGAATTCCAGTTGGGTTCGTTACATTCATTTACGCGCAAATACCTTTGGGAAAGGCATGGATCCATCTCCCCCAGCTATGGGTCTAATAGCAGGACAGTCTGGGTCCTGTAGCCTTGATTGGTACCAAGTCTAACGCAGAAAGAAACGGCAATCTACTGTGTGAAAATCTTCTGCCTCGTCAGTCATGAATCGAAAAAGACATAATCGTCCAAGTGTGTATCGCGTATGGCATTTAACTGACTGGTTGGCTGACTGATGGGCACATACATGTGTGCGTGTATGTGTGTGCATTTAGGGTTTCTTTATACACGTGTTTGCTTGGTGTGCGCATGTCTGTGTGTGCGTATCTAGTTCAGATGTGGGAGAGAAAGCTTCGTGATTAGTTGTTTCTGTATGAATCATTCTAAGATTTTGAGAAACATTTCCGATTGCTAATTAAATGTACACGCAGAGCTCTACTAGTGTAGCCTTGTGCCAGTCTAAGATTTGATTGCCTACCAAAGCGATTTTGTGAAGTTCGCCTCGCAGATGACTGTTGTTCTCATCGGGTCTTTCAAAATTGTAGCTTTGTGTTAGACTAAACTAAGGCTAGTAAATGATTTAGGGCTCTAACGACACTGCTTTCTATATCTATATTTCTCAAAATGTGTGTGTGTATGTATGTGTGTGTGTGATCGGATGTTGCTTATGCGTTTCTACAGTTTTCATCCGATTTCGATGAATTTTTTTTGTTTGATAAATAATTCTTCAGTGTTGGTTTTGAGTCCAAATTCTCTGGAAAAAATTACAACCTTGAAGGTGAAAAATCGAATGAACTGATTTTTTAAACTTTGCGCAAAAATCAAAGGCAAAATTTAATGTCTGTAAAAAACAGCTTACAATCAATTTACAAAGATGAAATCTATGGCAAAAGATTATTAGAATTATATAAAAAAATATATTATAAATAAAAATTATCGTATATTATTATTATGACGGTCGATGGAAGCAGTTCTTTCCTTGCAAGATTGTGAACGCAAAAACGGCCCTATTTCAAATTGTTAAACCTCCATTTGGGGATGTGTCTCAGTTGCACTCAGTTGTTGTTCGACCTGGGTAAGACGTTAAACTACATCCAGCAGCAAGGCCTCTGATTAAGAGGTTTTGAGGAGCGTGGAACCACCTCTTAATTACTGATGTTCCCAAGTCCATCCTTGACCCGGGGTGGTAGCACCTGTTAGGGACCAAGCTATGGGCAAATATTTAACTATTACCAGCAATACTTATTCGAAAAAAGTTATTACCAGCAATACAATTTTAAAGGAAAAATATTACCAGAAAGAGATTTTTGACAAAACAAAATATTACCAGAAATAAAAAAAATGTCAGCATTCAATATTGCATTGAGGTGGTAAAGGCGTTAAACAAAATAAACCAAACCAATCTAAACCAAAGAATACATATTCTATTCATACGAATCTATCCTAAAATGTTGTCAGCATTCAATATTGCATTGAGGTTGATATGCCGTTAAACAAAATAAACCAAGCCAATCTAAACCAAAGAATACATATTCTATTCATACGAATCTATCCTAAAATGTTGTCGGCATTAAATAACTCATTGAGGTTGATATGCCGTTAAACAAAATAAACCAAACCAATCTAAACCAAAGAATACATATTCTATTCATACGAATCTATCCTAAAATGTTGTCGGCATTAAATAACCCATTGAGGTTGATATGCCGTTAAACAAAATAAACCAAACCAATCTAAACCAAAGAATACATATTCTATTCATACGAATCTATCCTAAAATGTTGTCAGCATTAAATAACCCATTGAGGTTGATATGCCGTTAAACAAAATAAACCAAACCAATCTAAACCAAAGAATACATATTCTATTCATACGAATCTATCCTAAAATGTTGTCAGCATTAAATAACCCATTGAGGTTAATATGCCGTTAAACAAAATACACCAAGCCAATCTAAACTAAAGAATACATATTCTATTCATACGAATCTATCCTAAAATGTTGTCGGCATTAAATAACCGACTGAGGTTGATATGCCGTTAAACAAAATAAACCAAACCAATCTAAACCAAAGAATACATATTCTATTCATACGAATCTATCCTAAAATGTTGTCGGCATTAAATAACCCATTGAGGTTGATATGCCGTTAAACAAAATAAACCAAACCAATCTAAACCAAAGAATACATATTCTATTCATACGAATCTATCCTAAAATGTTGTCGGCATTAAATAACCCATTGAGGTTGATATGCCGTTAAACAAAATAAACCAAGCCAATCTAAACTAAAGAATACATATTCTATTCATACGAATCTATCCTAAAATGTTGTCGGCATTAAATAACCGACTGAGGTTGATATGCCGTAAAACAAAATAACTAAACCAAACCAAACCAACTTTTGTTACTAATATTGATATTCGGGTGGGCTGACTTTAAACTTTAAGTGCTTCAATTGAACGGCAAAAATTCCCAGTAATGAAAGACCCGGTCGAAGGCGGGTTATACTGCTAGTAATTAAAAGATCGCCTCGGAGACGAATTTGTTAGTTCAAGTTTGATTCTTTGTGAATGTTTAGTTACTGTAGCCTTATGCCAGTGTAAGTTGAACATAGTAAATATCTGTTCAGATGGGCGGTATTCTTTAGTTCCATAAGCTCGGGCCGTTGGAGCTAATATTGGTACTGTTACGTCCACGGAATCTAATAATCCTCATTTCCCCCCGTATTCCATTTGTAAGAAAAAAGCTCCACTCAAACAGCTTTTCTCCAAAGAACTACTGTTGTGTGGAATAGACTTCTACGTAGAAGCTTCCGTGAACACTATATTCTTAAACTCATCAGGTCAGGGATCAATCTTTATGTACCCCTCTTATCCTCAAAACGTTCACGGCCTCATCTCAATCAGTAACCATCTACCTTGAGTAGCTATCGAGCTACTGAGTGAAATTTAGTAAAAAAGAAAATGGTTTGAGCGTCTACTGCAAAGATTTAATACTTTTGCCTTGTAGAGGGAGTCGTTAATGTATGTATGTGTAGAAGGCTAGATAGATATGAACAGGCCAAGGTAGATAGATACATAAAGAACAGGCGAAGATAGATAAATAAACATTAACAGGCCAAAATAGATAGATACGAAGCTATCTATCAGTCTATTATGGCCTGTTTATATCTATCTATCTATCTATCTATCTATCTATCTATCTATCTATCTATCTCGGCCAGTTCATAAATAGATATGAACAGACCAAAATACGTAGATAGATATATAGATAAAGAGATAGATATATATATAGATAGATATCAACAGATCAAAATAGATGGATAGATTGATAGATAGATATGAAAAGGCCAATATATATATATATATATATATATATATATATATATATATAGAGAGAGAGAGAGAGAGAGAGAGAGAGAAAGAGAGACCAAAATAGATAGTTATGAAGAGGCCAAAATTGAAATATTGATAGATAGCTATGAATTGAGCAATATATATATATATATATATATATATATATATATATATATATAGAGAGAGAGAGAGAGAGAGAGAGATAGATAGGAACCAGCTAAAATAAATAGATAGATAGATAGATAGATAGATAGATAGATAGATAGATATGAACCGGCCAAAATAGATAGATATGAACCGGCCAAAATAGATAGATAGAAAGAAAGAAACAAAGAAAGAATTATCAAAATATAGTTACAGGTATTTGGAGAACCTTGCTTTTATTTAATTCTCCTTCCATGCTAACAAGCGATGAACATCATAAATTTTCTGGTTTGAAGATACATAGTAAGTTATTTTCCTTTGAAAATAAAAAATAAAATAAAATAATACATAACAGGAAATCTAACGTGAATATAATTTAACAATAAGCCAGCAAACGTGATCCAATGTTGACTGCTCAGAAGTTCTTTCCGTTCGCCGAGCGAATTTGACAAGTTTGCCACTGTTCGCCTCAGACAGGCCCGAGGAAACAAGTCAGAAATAATCATCTCACTAAGTTCTCGGCGAGTGCTTCGAGAAGACGAAAGTTGCGCGAGAGTAGCAGCATTTTTCTGTGTTATATCATCGAAGCAAAACTAGATATTAGTAACTCCGCGGCCAGCCGTAAGTCCTAAGGGATTCGTTTGTGTTGGCTTCTGGATGGCAGAAGAGAAAAAAAAGATACGCGGACACGCACCGATGGAGAAAATCTTTTTATTTCAGTTCAGTGGACTGGAAGAAAAAAAAAAATCAAAAATGGACTCGTAGTCTTTTCGTTTACTGTGCAAGAGTCGATTCACCGGAATGTTGAAATGGAGACAGAAGCCGACGGTCGATTCCAAAATTTCCTTTTCTATGTTCAAACTTGTAACACACAGATCTTCGTGAGTTGACGATGGTACCGTTCGCTTTCGTTCAAATATCAATCGGAATGAATAGAATTCGATTAGTGAACTGTCACATAGATGCTGATAGCTACAATGGATACATACATACCTATATATGTGTATGTGTGGGGGAGTATTTGGGGGAAGGAAGCGAATGAATATTCACAGTGGTGGTGGCTAGGTGAAGACGTTGATGTGGAGAGTCCGTTAAGAACATTTTTCTGTCATTAGCTGTTAGCGATTTTGTTGGTGGGAGTTGTATCGGGGTAGAA